GGTAAATTTAACATCATGATAAGACATGAAAATCATTCGATTCTTATTGAAAACTTAGATTTTTATTTTTTCATCATTATTTGCATTGCGTCCTTTCCTATTCAAAAAAAAATGATGCATACAAGCTAATATATTGATATTATAATACTGATTTGAATATGATGAATGAATAAGTGACTTTATTTAAAACCCTTATTTTTAAAATATTTCAATAGAATTCAATATAAAAGAAGTTACTTTTTATATAAGTGCAGTACTAGACATTGGTTGAGAGATTTGTTGATATTGATTGAAAATAAGTAATTCAATCACTAAAGTATCGATTTTATAGTCATTGATAAGAAAACAAATTTTGATTGAATATTTACCATATTTTAGATTATTCATATGCAAATAAGCGTGTTCCTCATTATTTTAGAAATTTACAAATATGTGGTTGCAAAATTGTCAAATTTACATTACAAGTACCATCATTTTACGATTGTGACATTTTGATTCATATTAGATCTATTGATATCATGAATAATTAAAGATATGAATCACATTCTAATGACTAAATTTAAATTTTTCACAATCAATAAATTGTTTTGTGCCTTGATATATTGCTGCATTCAACAAATATATGTTTAATATGCAATTGAAAGTTAATATCAAATAAAATTGTATTCTAAAATTAAAGAACCTATCTAATAAATTTCAAAACACCTGGCAAATAAATTTAAAAATTAATTTTAAAAAAAATGTAAAAAGGAAGCAAGTCCTCGACGGGATCTTACTTTGCGGAGTATTATTGTTAGAAATGTATGTTTATCAAAGCCCAGTAATTGTGTTTAACTCTAAATCACTACATATTTTCTAAGAAACTATACAGGATAAGAGTAGTTGTTATGAATTTTGCACTCATAGGTAAAGGATAACCCATCCAACTGCACAGTTTTGCGTGTTGTCAAGCACGAGAATCTTATACTTCTCAAACATTGCTGTTTTCCATCATTTCATTATCGTTTTCGTAAATTCAACATCATCATAATACTTTTTTACTTCATCATAACGATTTCCATATAATCAAATCAGCTTTTTGAGATTCGAACCATCAACTTGTTGGTCCCCTTTGGAGATAAACCCTTCACCACCACAAAACCGACCGACCCATGCAATCTAACTCAACCCCTGCGCTGTCATGGGTAAAAGTTGGTGACATATTATAACATTATTTTTTTTTTTTTGTAAAGTCTTAATATTGACAAATACAACTTTTTCAGGCAAATCTTTATACTTCACAAAAGCAAGTTTCCAAAAATAATTCATTTTTTTAAATTAATAATGATTAACTTAAATTTATGTTAAGAGATCGTTCACAAATTTTGTTCATAATCTATAATAGTTTACTGCTTTTTTACTTTCAATGTTCTATTCTAAATTTTGGTCATCATAAGTTATCATACACATTTCAAACTATTACAGAACCTTTGTAGATATAAAGCAAAACATAAAATCATACGAGTTCATTTTATCTATGAATGATTCTGAAAGAGATTAAAGAAGAAGTAAAAATGGATGAGAGAAACCACACATTAAAATGAACGTAAATAAATAAATACTTTGTCAAATGAGTAATTATGAAAAAAAAAGATAATTTTTGCATGCAAATAAATATAAGGAACTTTTACATGTTTTCATTCTGATTCTTTTTGATGTCTACAAAGCAGAGGAAAAAAAACTTTTTATATAAATATTGTTCCAAACAAGAAAAAACTTTGTTGTCACTCAGCATGCATTAAATATTATTGCAAAAAATGGAAATAAAAAATGAGAATTTTTGCAGATGTTCATTCACTTAATACTTTTGCTATATGTTATGACATATTATGAGCGACTCATTTAATGTGTTTAAAGAAAATGAAAACAAAAATTTATGCAAATTGGTCTCACGTTTGAGAATGGAAGGAGAAAATACTAAGTAAATATATTTTGAATATCATTTACAGAACAAGCTGGAATTAATTGTAAAAGGTAAAATATGTTTCTAAAAAAATTGAGCTTGTTTCCATTCAAGAAAGTATTAATTTTGTTTTGATTATTGTGTTTGTAAAACATTTGAATACGGAATCAATAATCATCAGATCCAGTGAAATGGAATTAACGAAATTCAGTTGTGTGCTTATTGAAAAATTTGTGACAACACGTGTAGATTGTAAATTATGAAAACACTTGAAATGTCTTGTAGACTTTATAAATCCATAACAAACCCAAAAATTTTTATTAATTACAATTTCAAAATCGAGTAATTTAAAGCCTGAAATTTTATGTTCTCAAAACAACCCCCCTCTAATAAATCCATAAATTCTCACACACATTTATCAGTGATTTGAAATTAATCCAACATTCGATAGAATTGAAGAGAACTGATTTTTGTTTGAAGGTACGATTAATATTCTATCAATCAAAATTTGTCATATTTTTGTATAAGTCATAACGAGGACCTTATGGTAGATTTTTTTTTCGTCCTCCTATTGAATATGAATAAAATTCTGTCAATAATTGAAATTTATTGCGTGCTGTACATTTGTTCTAATAATTTGATATTAATATTGGTCAGGATATAAAATTTATGAACCCACATGTTATTGTTGTTTTTGTTGTGTTTTTAGATCATTTGTTTTTCTAAATACTTGCGGTGACTTTTATAGACTTATCCCGCATTATCTCAATTGCTTTATATATGCGTAAAATTTTTCTATGGATTTTTAGGGTGAAAAAAGTGAAAGAGGATCATTTTTGTGAATTATTTGTAGATGAATAAATTATGAAATTCATGCAAATGCATTAAAATGTCCATTGAACTGTGACGACAGCAGTAAAACACATGCGATGTTTGTCATGTAAAGTGCCATATTCAGCACTTATTACTTTCATTTTATTTTTATTTTACTTCTCGTGCTCATCCAAACGATCAACATGAAAGTTATTTAATAGGAACAAAAAAAAAATGAACTTATTTTTTTCAAATGAATGAGCATTCAATGAGGTCAAGTTAAAGTTAAAGTTGATTCGAAGTGCATGCAAATATGCAGTAGCAGTTCATCATCATAATTTACCAATTAAAGGTCTTCACTTTTGCGACCCCTTTGTTAACCATCTGTTGTTATTATAACAAAAGTAAAGTGAACTATCCGCTATGTCGTATGTGCAATTTCTCATCATCGTCATCATCACATATCTAGATCTATTTACATAATTTTTTGCTGGCTCTTTTTTTAACATGCAAAAAGAACTTTTTTCTCCCGATATTTTAATGCAAAGTCATGATTCATTTATAAGCAAAAAAGAGCGTTTTTATGTGGGCGATAAAAAGAAGCTTATTTTAATAATAAAAAAATGTATCATGACTCCGAAAGAATCTAAAAAGCAGTTCACTGACCAGTTAATTGAACTCTAAAATAAGTGCAGATGAATTCTCCTAAACGACTCTTTTTCTTACTTCTATTTAAACAATCAGTGACAAAAAATTTTCAGTGCCTAATATAAAGGAATTTAATACAGAATGTTTATTTCCTCCGAATAATTCTTAATTACATTGATTTTTTTCCAGCAAAGAAGCTACAAAAAGTTCTCACAGTCTTCAATCATTCATGTCAAATTTTCATTGGGCTTGTCTTGATTTTTTTTGCTGTTCATTTTATTTCTTAAGGGAGCAATTAAATGTCTTGAGAAAATTTTCTTCGCTCATCGAAAAAAGAACAATCTTTTTTGGTAATAAAAGAATTCACTCGAGCATTAAAAATTTTTTGTGCATGAATGAGATATAGGAAAGTTGAAAACACATGTCGCATTGACACACAAAAGTGTTTTTGAAAATTTGTCTAAACACGATTTATGTGCTTAGATTAACATCAATTTTGCGAAGGCATTTACATTTATTTAAATTTCCTGATAATTTCTAAACATTTGTTCAACAATATTGCCAAAAATATATTCTTTAGTATTTGGGTGTATTAATTTTATGACCCTTTAAAAACTATTGAGCATTTTTTTTTGCATGTAGTTTATGAAGCATGACTGCGCTTTTAAAAACTTATTTCAACAACAATATCAGGTGTGTCAACTTTAAATTAATTTTTTAAATAGCCAAGTGAATTTCCAAGATGTATTTGCTGACTCAGAATTGTTTACAGTTTCATGTTATTGACATGTGACTAGAAATTATTTGAACTTTTGTATGTTAATGCATTCAAACACAAATGCTTTGATTTTTTTTAAGGTACTAAAAAAATAAATTGTGGCAACTTATTCCAATTATATAAATCTATTTGAATTGCCAATTGACTGGAAATTTTTTTGGATCAATTTAATTAAAAATCTGGTATGAGTCGACCAATTATTCGAGTCCATAGATAAAAAATTCATCGCAAATTTGCGTTTATTTGTGCGAAATCAACAAGCATCGTTCAAAAACAATTTTCATGCTACTCACATTGATTGGCTTATGATGCAACAACAATGGAAACCAGTGTATCGGGTAGAAACCCAAATGAGGGTATATTCACACCGTACCATCAAAAGTCTTGTGGAAAGACCAAGCTTAGCTCTGTATTCATTTGAAAGTATAAAGCTTAACGAACCAGCTTATTTTCGAAGGTTTAAATTTGGACGAACCAGCTGAGCATAAGTTTGTAAACTAGACTTTTATCATAGAAAGTCTTCATCGATCAGCTGTGATGTCGCACAGCATAAGTTTGTAAACCAGAACTTAACCATAGAAAGTCTTCATCGATCAGCTGTGCTGTCGCACAGCATAAGTTTGTAAACCAGACTTTTACTATAGAAAGACTTCATCGATCAGCTATATAAAGTTTAATAAAAGATATCCAAATTCGTCAAAATTATTGTAAAATTTTGGAGAGAAAAATCAAAGTAAGCAAAGACTTTGATGGTGAAGAAAAATTTAATCAGATTTTTGGACGAATCAGACGGAAGAAAATTGAAAAAAAGCGTGTAAAATGGTTGGCAAACGACAAAGCAAATACCTTGAATTGGTGAAAAGCGAATTTTTGACGTATTTTGAACAAAGTGGACATATTGTGGATGATAAAATTGAAGAATTTGTGAAAAAAATACTCCCGACTTTCAATCAAGATAAACCAAAGTCATCGATGGTATTTCGCAGCAGCCTTAAGACAGAATTCATTTACAACGGTTCTTGCATCAAAGCAATTGCTGAAATGAACAAAGAAGAGCCAATCGGTAAGTAGTACATTAAACATTTAATGTCTTTTAATAAAAATATAACTTTTCGTTTCTAGGAACTAAGACGTCAAGTGAAGATGATGGCAAGTCTGGATCTCAAAACAGTTTTGATCCGACAAATGGGCAATCGAATGAGCAATCGAATGGGCAATCGTCAACAATTCCACCTGATTTAAGTGAAGTTTTTGAATCATCTTCTCAAGAATATATGCATGATGTTTTTAATGAGGGGCAAACGGAAATTTCGTCATATTCTGACATGCAGAAGATGCAGAAGATGCTGACATTCTGAAGATGCAATTTTAAATAGTAATCAAAGAGCAGCTAAACGATTTTTTGAACGAGAATTTTAAATTGATAAGGACATTCATTTCTAGTTTATCGAAGTCCTATTAGAAAATTTATTAAATCGCTAACATAGAAATCAATCAAATAATTAATATTAGAAATTAAATAAACTTGTTTATCGGGTAGAAATCTAATGCGGATATATTCACACCGTACCATCAAAAGTTGCGTTCGAAGGTTTAAATCTGGACGAACCAGCTGAGCTACGCTCTGCATATGTTTGAAGATATAAAGCTAGGCGAGTCACAACATAAGCAGGATAGACTCTTACCATAGAAAGTCTCGATCGATCAGCTGTGTTGTCGCACATCATAAGTTTGTAAACTTGACTTTTATCATTGACGTCTTCATCAATCAGCTGTGCTTCGCACAGCATAAGTTTGTAAACTAGACTTTTACTATAGAAAGACTTCATCGATCAGCTATATAAAGTTTAATAGAAGATATCCAAATTCGTCAAAACTATTGTAAAATTTTGGAAAGAAAAATCAAAGTAAGTTAAGACTTTGATGGTGAAGAAAAATTCAATCAGATTTTTGGACGAATCAGACGGAAGAAAATTGAAAAAAAAGTGTGTAAAATGGTTGGAAAACGACAAAACTAATACCTTAAATTGGTGAAAAGCGAATTTTTGACGTTTTTTGAACAAAATGGACGTATATATAGTGGTTGAAAAACTTGAAGAATTTGTAAAAAAAATACTCCCGGCTATGAAAAAAGGGGAACCAAAGTTCAGGATATATCGCAGCAGCCTAATGAATGAATTCATTTACAACAATTGCTGAAATGAACAAAGAAGAGCCAATCGGTAAGTAGTACATTAAACATTTAATGTCTTTTAATAAAAATATAACTTTTCGTTTCTAGGAACTAAGACGTCAAGTGAAGATGATGGCAAGTCTGGATCTCAAAACAGTTTTGATCCGACAAATTTTAACGAATTGAATGGGCAATCGTCAACAATTCCACCTGATTTAAGTGAAGTTTTTGAAACATCTTCTCAAGAATATATGCATGATGTTTTTAATGAGGGGCAAACGGAAATTTCGTCATAGTCTGACATTTCAATTGAAGAAACAAATATATGCGATTCATGGTTTATGAACTTAAGCCTTGAAGATGCAATTTTAAATAGTAATCAAAGAGCAGCTAAACGATTTTTGAACGAGAATTTTAAATTGATAAGGACTCATTTCTAGTTTAGCGAAGTCCCCTAGCGAGACTAACTAGCAAATTGCTAGTCTTTCTATTTTACTACTTGCAATTTACTAGTTATTATTAAAACAACTTACTATTAATAAATTACACTTACTATTTAATAGCAAATTACTAGCAAATTTCCATGAGAAATGTTTGATCAAATCTTCTTAAGTTCGAATCCTACGAAAAATCATCAAAAAAAGAAATTTTTGCATCATAAAAAATTTTGTTCTAAATTTGGCTTTTGCCATATACTTCACAAGAGCGCGCAGAAATCACCTTTATAAGGTCGATCCAAATTTGTATGAGACATTCAATTTAATTATTTATCTTCCTCAGGTTTGCGTGCGAGTCATAAGCGTTCATCAGTGTTTGACTTAATTAAATTAAGTCTTTTATTTTTTTTCGTAGTATTAGTGTACTTTAATTAATTAAACTAAGTACACACTAATACTTTTACAATAATTTACACAAATAAAAAATCAAAAAAACACGTGGAAATCAACGGTTATATTCATTTAAATTTTTTACAAATTTGCTAGTAAATTACTAGTTAAATTGTAAGCGAATTGACTAGTCAATTAGCAAGTGAAAATGCGGGTCTTTGGCGATGATTTGAACTTGGATTTTGACTAGTAAATAGCAAGTAGCAAATGGAAAGTTATCCAGTAAATTACTAGGAAATTACTAGTAAATTTCTGCTAGGGGTCCTATTAGAAAATTTATTAAATCGTTTTTTTTTTTCATTTTAATTGCAATTTATTGCATTTATCAGAGATCGAAGCCGATTTTTTCGGCTTAACTCAATTTTTGATTTTTTTGATAGAAAAAAGCCATTTAACACCCATTTTAAGTATTTAAATTGAACTTTACATGCTTTACTATCGTTCTGTGAAATATTTTTTCAGCATGTAGCTATAGTGAGCTCAGAATTTCAAGTTAAAGAATGTTAAGCCGAAATTTAAGCCGATCGGCTTAAAATCGGCTAAATTGAAATTCAGAGCTTACTATAGCTACATGCTGAAAAAATATTTCACAGAATGATAGTAAAGCATGTAAAGTTCAATTTAAATACTTAAAATGGGTGTTAAATGGCTTTTTTCTATCAAAAAAATCAAAAATTGAGTTAAGCCGAAAAAATCGGCTTCGATCTCTGGCATTTATTGACGACATACTGTCCGGTAATAATTCACATTTTACACTTTTGTATTTGTATTCATATGAATTAATATTATGTAGGATCAAACTTCTAATCTTCATATCTAGGTTTCAAATAAACTAAGGCTCTCGTTTCGATCTTCTGCGGGCGCGACGTGATACTTTTCAGGTCCGTTCTGACAATATTCCATTATAAGGTAATCTTGTAGCTCTCGTTCCTATTTCTCCCGCTACACTTCAAGTTCCTGATCCGTTCCTTAATCCAACGTTGCCCAAATGCCCAATTATGGCTTGATCTTCTACATTAAGCAGTCGAAGTATCTAAACTTCCGAAAAAGAACAAATTTGGAAATGGCTGGATTCGAACCGACGACCTTCGAGTTACCATCCCAAATTTGAGCCAAGCACCTTACCTATTCGACCAGCAAGGCACTTAACTGCTGTTAACATAGAAATCAATCAAATAATTAATATTAGAAATTAAATAAACTTGTTTATCGGGTAGAAATCTAATGCGGATATATTCACACCGTACCATCAAAAGTCTTGTGGAAAGACCAAGCTTAGCTCTGTATTAATTTGAAAGTATAAAGCTTGACGAACCAGCTTATCTTCGAAGGTTTAAATCTGGACGAACCAGCTGAGCATAAGTTTGTAAACTAGACTTTTACCAAAGAAAGTCTTCATCGATCAGTTGAGCATAAGTTTGTTTGGTCTTTAAAAATTCATAAGAAATGAAGGTTTTTTGCTTTTTCTGAAGCAACGTCTGTTCCTACCTTGCCCAAAAACAATAGAGTTTTTCTATAGAGCAGCACGGATCAAATGTAAAAAAACTAGAAGTCTCTACGATGTCTCGTTATTGAGATTTCTTGCTGATTAACTTGCTTGCTTGCTTGCTTACAGAAAGCGTATTTTTCTATTTTCTCAGCAACGCCGCAACCAATTTTAAATCTGTTTTTGCATAAGATGTAAAATTTCAGGCACAAACTTTTCTTCTGGGACCTTTTACACGTGAAAACGGTGTGAATATAAAAATTTAATCAAATATTGAATCACTTAAAATTGAACTTTCAAATGCACTCACGCAGAAAAGCTATCGTTATTGTTTCATTAAAAATTGCATCAAGATATAAAAAATTGTTTACTGTGAAAAGTGCTGTCCATCAATCGGTGTAGTTTTTTTAATTTGCATTTTTTATGATGCATGGGTAATGACACTTTTTTATGAACGAAAAATTTGCAAAAGATTTTTTTAAAAAACATCAATTGCAGTCACGATTATTTTTTATTTATTGAGATATTTAAATTTTTTGTGAAATTAATCCGTGAGTATTGACACTACACACTTCCCCAGTCCACAAATAATCAATCGATTTTTATATTTCATATAAGTACTTCATATCATTGCAATTTTACATTGGAAAATTTTTCAATTAAATTTGTGCAAAATGTTTTATCAGTTTAAAATGTAAATGGATTCAAAAACATGAAAGCTACACCATGAGACTTACATCGGGTACCATTTATTGCTTTAAAGTCATGTATAAAATCAGAAATTTCATTTTATGTTAGTATTAAAAGGATGAATATTGCACCGAAAATCAGCCACACATAAACTTTAACGAGGACATCTTTAGATTGCATTCTGGTTAGTGTAGCAACATTACTGTGTGTGGCTAGCAAATGATAATGAAACAATGTTAAACAGTTTATCCAAACGAAAGTTTTTTGTATCAAAAATGTTGCAGTTTATTTATGCTAGTTTATCATGAACATAAAGTCTGATGGTAAGAAATTCTGGTTGAAGACAAACATAGTAAAATGAAAAATATAACTTATAAAATATCCTAAATAGCGATTACAAACGGTTCCAAATAATTTTTTTATGTATAAAATTATACATGTAAGTGTTTCATACAAAGCTCTGGAAAATTTCATCGACTTCGAGCTCTGGTCTCATACAGGTTATTAAGCCCTATAAATAGATTCAAATGATACTTAGCTTCAAAGCTGCAGTAAACAATCTACAATCCTTGTAGCTTCATAATGTTCGTATGTGCAAGTACAACGACAATAAATCATTTTCGTGAAAATTGAAAAATATTTCAAGATTTTCATGCATGCTCAGGTGAATGATTTACTTACTTCGTACGTTGCGAATGTGAAGAGAATCAAATTGATAATCATCATGTGGTTAGCAGCAATGCTATACTGTGATGATAGTGAGAACTTTATGATTTATTTTAAAGTAAACATCGTTAACTCAACTACGAAAAATATTTGAGGAAATTAAACAATTAAAATGTAAATTACTCTGCATACATTTTTAATTTTATTCATAATTCAAAATATTTGAGTGTACTTATGTAATAATCATTCTTACCATATGGCACACGAGCAGAAATATAATTGCATTTCTAGTGCATAATAATTATCATAGCTTTCTCTTCTGTTTTTATCATCTTCTGACTTGCATACGCGCGTGTATTTATTTTTTAAGGATCGCTGACATCTGTTAATGATCAACACGATGAAACCGAAATTGAGTGGAGCAGGACGTGAAAAGTAATTTGCTGTATCTCTATT